GACAGGAGGGAAAGCTGATATGTTGTCTGAAAACAAAAAGGGTCTATGTAAGATTTGAGGTTTTCACAGCGGTGAGTATGAAGATTTTTGTCTTCTGGGTTATTGTTCTGTGTAGTCTGGTCGATGTTAACCGACGTTTCAGAGGTCATACTGCCTCCGTCATCAGGGCGATGAAGACAAAACTCTTCAAAAAGGGTCTAATTCAACAGACAAAGCAATGTTAAACCAAAACCCAACCTGAAAATCCACAAATTGTCATGAATGCTGTATGGGACTTTACAATTGTTAAGGTAAGTTTTAGTGACCTACAGTTACCTGTCAGCACCATTGAATTTCCTACTTACAGGATGAATATAAATTGCATCATATCTGGAGGAGAGTTCCTCCAGGTACTCCTCATCTCTGCACTCATTGGTGGCTTTTAAGATCTCTACTTGCTCTACAGAGTGCTTTGTAAGGATTTCTTCCTCTGTTGCCTCACGTGGCTTCACAAACAAACAGCGAGAGATGAGCCCCAAAGCTTCACATCTGAAACACACCACAGTATTGTCTTGTGCAACTAAACACTAACAGGGATGTCAAGACAAAGTGAATTTCAATGATATAGCAGAAGTAAGAATTTATATTATAATTATATAATGTGATGAGAGGGGCATGTCTCCTGAATATAAAACATGCTTATCAGGTACAACATTTCGTAAGTGAATAACAACTTGCAGATGTGATTCCTAAGATCGGTGACAGCCAGTGACATGGTGCCCTGCTGTATTAAAACACAATTAAAGATTTTTTATAATAATACAAATATTTTAAAGTATAAAATAATGGACTATCTATAACAGAATGAACACTTCAAATAAATAACAGAAGAGTCCTTAATAGTAAAGATATATTGGAAAACCAAACAAGAAATGGTCTGATCAAAAAATACTGGAACAGGCTGAAATACTGCCTACACTATCAAAGAGCTAAGCAAAAGTTCAAAGTTGTTGGACACTGCACAACAAAAATCAAGCTTTTAAATCTTCTAAGTCAAAAACTAGAAGTGATATAAGCTGGCACTATACTTTCTAATCATTTGTAATTTCCTTATATTTGCCCATATGTGGCTTTCCCTTACCTTCTATCAATTATAATTACTTATGCCAGATATCTATTATGCAGAGAAACCAATAAGTCTGCCTAATCTGAAGAATGTGTGAATAGATCCCATGGCAAAAATAATGGCAAAGACAATACTCCACTTTAAGATCTTTTTTTGCTGGTATACAAGTGGTTAGTTGCATTGATGCAAGGGCCAGATATGAAAGTTTCAGTGTTTTCAGCAAATATCTTTTTTAACATATACGAGGTACGATCAGAAAGTTTCAAGACTGCGCGTATAAAAACCTGTACAATTATCTCAGGTATTAAATTCATCCATCACCCTCGAAGTAGTTCCCCTGGGAGTGAACACAACGATCCCAGCGCCGCTGCTAAGCCTGGAAGCATCCCTGGAAATCTTTCTTTGTCAGCCTGTCAAGCACCATCTGCGATTCTGCCTGAATCTCTTCTATCGTCTCACATCTCCTTCCCTTTAGCTGAATTTTCATCTTTGGGAAGAGGAAGAAGTCACACGGGGCTTAGAAAGGAAGTTGGGGTCGGTTCTTGCAAGATCTTTGAGCTCCTGACAAACGAGAAGTCGATTCTGCTTCTGGTCCTCAGACAGGATGCGTCGCCTGTGGAGTTCTTCCTTTAGAATCAGCTGACATGTCCCATAGCCTATCCCAACAATGTCGACCAAGTCGTTGATGGTACGACGTCGATCTTCGTAACATTTTCGGGCGTTGTGCTCGAAGATGGTCGTCCAGAACGCTCGTCATCATCGCCAGAGGTTCGGCCATTTTTAAAACGTGAATGCCACCCAAAAGTTTGTGCACGACCCATTGCGGACTCCCCAAATGCTTGCTTTAGCATTTCATAGGTTTCCGTAGCCGTTTTGGCGAGTCTTTGGCAAAATTTGATGCACACGCCATTCTGAAATCGCAGGAGGGTCGGTGGAATGCACTACCAAAACGCCCGTAACTAAGAAACAAATGCTAATTCGATGATGCCGGCTGGCACACTGATTCACTATGAATGTAGGCCGCATCCCCTAGCGGCAGAAGCTCGTACTATATCCGGTTCGCCCTCTATTGACACAGTCTGGAAACTTTCCAATCGCACCTTGTATGCTGTATTGCTGAAGTGATTCTTGTTTCACAGAAATAGCCCCTCGACATGGAACTGGAAATTAACACCTTGATATATGGTCTACTAGACAATAAAACGTAGCTGCCACGGTGGTCTAGCGGTCAGAACGCTAGCCCTGTAATCTTGGGGTCCTGGGTTCAATTCCCGGTGATGCTCAGATTTATAACTTGTGTTGGGCAAGGCATCACAGAGTTTTCCTCCGTGGCATCCCAACAATTACTCCACTCACACTCACACAGAAGACAATGGCAAACGACTTCTGGATCATCTGCCAAGAATGTATATATGTATGAACGGGTCCCTGACAGCCTGAAGAGGATGGAAGGATCCTGTTCATAATATATGGACCTGTCATAAGACAGAACGCTAATAATAATAATAACAGACAATAAAACATTAATTTTATCAAGAATTCAAAGTTCTCATGGTGGCTTGGAAGATAGCTGTGTTCTACATTTTTGTACTGTGCAGTCTGGTGCAAATTTACCAACATTTCAATGCCCTGATGATGGAGGCAGCAAGGACCTCTGAAATGTTTGTAAACTTCCACCAGACTACACAGCACTACAAACTAGAAGACAGCCATCTTAATTAATTTTATAATTTTTGGCTAGTTACTGGTAACAGTATGGAATCAATTCTGATGGACACGAAAAAAGTGACAAGTAGGTAACAAACTGAGATGAATCTTATGGAAGTGGACTGTGAGGATGGTAAATGGATAGACTTGGCTCAGGATCACGTCCGGAAGCGGGCTTTGATGTTGTCGGTGTTGGACCCGCGGGTACTGCTACCAGTTATTTAGTTTAGGTAACAAATTTTTATTACTTAATTGCAATGACAAATTGTTCTCATAAAAAGAAAAAATGATCACAACCCACAAATATGTAAAACAAAATTAGCATTTCTTAGCTGTCATGTGTTAAGGTAAATTACAACAATAACCTATATTGCATCAATTATACCTTTCCAAAACTCTGGTAAATCTATCTGGACATTCTGGATAGTTTGGATCCCAGATGCACTTGTGCTCTGACATGCGTCGATCATAAACTATACCTGTTTGTTTTCTTATCATGTCTTTAGCTTCCCTGGCCTGCATTAACAAAGAAAATAACATACAACAATATACAATCATTTGAAAAGTATGGTAAATTCATTATTTACAACTTTATAAAATATTAAGAAAAAATCATACTTATACAACAGTGAAAAGGCTGCCTATTAATGCTAAGTACTCTTATATTTCCTGTACTCTAATCAAAACAATGCAAAAAATTATAAAATATCAAAACAAAATAAAATAATGAAGCTTCAAACTTGGATCTAACATCCATAGAGCTAGGAAACAATAAGAGCACGACAAATATCTGTATGTTCAGAACTAATTAAGATATCTGGTTTGTAAAATCAACAAAAGAGGCTTTTAATCCTGAGCAGATGTGAAGCATGACAACTGGGGTGTATTGACAAACTCCATTCCACACTGTACCATTTGGGCATTGTCAAAAAGTGCATTATCTTTAACACGAAAGCAGTCTACAATAGTTTTCTTAATATTCTTTAATGACACTTTGGTAACTTCTCCCAGCATTATTTCCAATTCATATGAGTTGACAAACAGAAGTCTCTAATGCCTTCTATCTACCCACAATTTTTCCTTTTCAATTTATTGTCAAAACATTTTGTTCTGGGTCATTCCATGGGTCTCTTTCTTTTAAATTTAATTGTAATGCCCTCCTATGTATCCTTGACCTATCCAGTCTTTTTACATGGACAAACCACTGAACTCATTTCTCTTCTAACTCTATTAAAATGTTGGATTCAGATTTATCTAAAAAATATAATTTCAATTTGATCCATTCTTGCTTTTTCCTGAATACTTCTTAAAACCTTCACATCCATCACTCGGATTTTGCTATTCTTTCTCTCTGTAAGGGTCCATGTTTCAACAATAAATGTCAGAATCAGTTTAAACTATAATTTAAAAATGTTTGTTTAGCATTGTTTTATTATCTCTCTGTATTCTTTCAATACTTTGATACAATTTAAAATAACTCTATATATTTCTCAGATAATTTTACCTTCTGAATTCATTTCACTTCCCAAATAAATAAATCAATCAACCTCTTAACTGTGTCATTATCTTTTATTATGATTTCTTTGACCAAAATATTAACACAAACAACTTTTAGAAATTGATATCTTTCGTGGTGATTTCCTGAAATCTGTGTTCCTAATTCTGAGTGGGGACACCATATTTTATTGTGACAATGTGCCAACATTTCAGACAAATTAGCAGTCTTCAGAAATGACTAACACCAGGCAACATCCACATATTTATAAGAATTCTCTACAGCATCCCAAATATTCAATTGGGAACACAATTCATAACCTTACCGTATGATAAATGTCTTTTATAACAACATCTGGTATTTTTTTATTGCCTTGGCGCATTCTAGCATTTCTCTTTGCTGCAACAACTGCCGGTGATGGCTTTGCCTAAAAAAAGAAAAGGATAGTGGCATGATTGCAGGACTTCAAATGAATGTTTAGCTGTTAAATTGTTAAAAGAAAGAACTTATATTACATGTGTATAATTAGTGAACATTTATCAAACTAACAAGTATTTATGCCCTATACTTTTAAAACTGTTCATAGAAGGGAGTGTAAACATCATTAGTTAGTGTGTAGGCATATCCTAAACTAACATAATGACCAAAAACTGTTAAGGTAAGTGGTAATTTTTATCCAATGTTGTCAAAACTAAAGATGTGCTATAAGACTATCTTGCATGATTGGAGAAAGGTGAATGGATTACAGGTGAAGGCAGATGGCCAAATAAACTATTTAATATTCATAAACATATTAACTTTAATATAAAAAGAATACACATGCTGAGACAATTGTAATAAGTATCATCACAAATTATGAAGATGGAACTATTTGTGCAGAATAACAAGAAAATTGCAAAATGGACGGAAGGTTTCAAGTGTAATGTGAAAATCATCATTCTGGTGGAAGGTTTAGTACCTTGTTCTGCAAACTTAACAAGAAAATTTAATTTCTTATATAGTTTGGTCCTGCTGAGTTAGGGTAATTAAATCTAAAAGTTCTTGACTATGGTGATGAGTCATTTGAATAAAAATTTTCTTGGATATTATCCATCGTCTAGGGTAATTAAATTGGGAACCCAATCCAGAACATGCACTTTAAAGATTTATTTGTGTCAAATGGCAGGTACATAGAATTTCATCTTTGACCCTTTTTGGCCAAGTTTGTAGACCACTTTGCCGTCAGAGACGTTGCCCAGGGTGCACCACAAGGAGGTAGTAATGAAGTAATGCACCTAACCTTTTCATTCAGCCTTGGTGAACGCCTCAATGGAGGGGCATTCTCGTTAGAAAACGTCTGAAGAGTTGATTTCTTCCCTGATTTTTTTGTAGAAACTCCAAAAGCAACCCCATCCACTTTTGGGCACCTCGCACTTTTCGCTGCCTGTCGAAAGAAAAGTAACCTCCAGGTCAAAGAAGACAAGTATATGAACAAACAAAGCTACCTCAAGTTTTAAATGTATATAATCCTGAGAAGACTGATCTCATAAGCTCTATGAAAGGCACAAATAAGGAATAAGTTACAGCTTTAGACGTGCAGTTTCAAAATACTAACCATTTGAATTCAGTCTGACATTAACTCCAAAGTCACTGAACCACGCAAGTTATACTATTATAAACTTTGGCCATGGTACGCCTACATTTAATCATGACACCATTTATAGTAACGACATTGAACATTAAAATTACAAAAATTAGATGTACATATAATTGAATAATTTCAGAAGAATCAAGTAAATGAAAAATATATTGCACGTAGAGATAACCAATAACCTTAAACTGTTCTTTTTCAAACCAACAACAAAACAGAATTTAGTATTACACTTCTTTCACTCAGCGGAGTTCAGAGGTAATAGATTACAGGGTAAACAACATATACTACTGCATCGGAATACAATCCTACGCATATCACGAAAATCGAGATGTATATGAAATCTGAGATCATATAGATTATTTGTTATTATTTTGTTTTAAAATCCTGTCTTTTTTTTATAAGTTGCTTAAACAATCTTTTCACCATTTATTGCTCTGCATTACAACTGTTGGCAGCTCTTCAGTTAGTATGACCATGGTCCTTTTGATGTAGAAGTAATCATACATTACAGTAATTCTAAAGGAATTAGTTTTTGGTCACCGTTCATGAGAATACCAACATATTAAATATTACATACGAGGCAGTTATCTGTGTTTATGAACGACCAAACCGTTTTATATTTCGGAATTACCAAATTATCGATGACAGGTGTTTCCTGATGTAAACGCATAGGCCTGTTATTGATGTAACGTCTGAAGCATGATTCCTATAATAAGAAAACAAACAGCCATTAAATTAAAGTTGCTGACAGCTCCAGTTAGTACTTGGTCACCGTTAGCAACAGCATTCAATACCAGACCTGGGTGGAAGCTGAATCTAAATCTTATAAAAGATAATGCTGTAAGTACTTTTGTGTTCCACATATTGTATTTTAACAATAAAATCAGTTTGTATATTATCATAACTCATGTTTCAGGGATTATTTGGCATTCCCGAACTGCGAAGTCATGAAGGATTTTATGCTATGAAAGAACGAGCAATATGGGAAACCGACAAACTTGTTACAGAATCGTGCAGCCCCAACAGGTAAAATAATTGTATATGTAATTTATAATTTGTATTTTAAATTAGCCTTAAATTTGTGCCCTATAGGTTGTCAGTGTGTGCACAAAACATACTGAATGTTATATTATCCTACAGGACTCGCAAGTTGGTAGAAATATTTGATGAGTTGTCAGACACACTGTGTAAAGTCGCAGATTTAGCCGAGTTTGTCAGGATTGCACATCCTCAAGCTGCATATTCCCAGGCTGCAGAGGATGCCTGTGTCAGCATTAGTGGCATTGTCGAAAAGTATGTAAACAACAATTTTTATTTCCGAAAACATATTATCTGTGTATAAATAATTTAAAAGCTTCAGTCTGTTGGTTGCCCAAGGTAAACATGTAGGCAGATCATCATTTTAATTGAATTAGAATATCACAGGCATGAAAATATTTTCACAGTTCAGTGACTGGGTTTGTAATGCAAACTGTCCTGTAATACCAGAGCCAAGCGATAATTCTTTTTATAAAAATATGGAAAAATGTAAAGAGAAAGGTTCTTGCAAACCATGTGCTTCCACTCTCAAGTGTTGGAATTATTTACCTAGGACAAGCTCTTACAATACTATATTCTTCAGTAGTTGCAGCAAAAGAGGAATGTCTTTCCATCTACCATGGGACTAGTTAATTTCATAGTACTGTATGAAGGTTCAGGTAAAAAATCATTCTTTTGGGATATTTTTAAATGGTTTAGCAGTTGCCCTTCACTCATAGTTTTCTTATATAGACTTAACACCCACCAAGAGCTGTACCGCACATTACGTACTGGTGTGGATGCAGGGGACAAGATTCCTATGTCTCCTGTGGATCAACATGTTGCACGACTCTTCCTATTTGACTTTGAACAGTCTGGTATCCACCTGCCAGAGACGGACAGAAGGCGAGTCGTGGCACTCAATGATTCAATCTTACAATTGGGACAGAGATTCATAACAGGTGCCGTTTCTCCACGTGCCATCCCAAAAGACTCGCTGCCACCGAACTTACGTCAATTGTAAGCAGTTCTCTTTTTTTATCCTCTTCAACTTCAGAACACAGTGAGAGGTATTACATGTACTGTCCACACAGAGTAATTCAGCCTTATAACTGCACAGTTCCATTCAAACACATCTCTATAATGAACATATAAGAAATATGATTAATAAATACTTCCAGTCATTGTGTATAATACACATCATGTTTTAAAAAATAAGCATTTAAAGAAACTAATATTTTTCTGAATATACAATACTTTAATAATAGTCACATTATAATATAAACAGTCATCCCTGAAGCATAGTGTCAGTGCATGGTAATCTGCAGTAGTACACATTAACATACTTAATAAGTCAGCATTTTTTCTTGTCTAATATATGTACCCTCACATTTCACAACATTCAGAAATACATAACATAGCTGTAAAAAGAAAATAATATTTGGCCTTTTCTGACTTGTCACATTTTTGGATATCACAAACCCTTAGTATCAACATAAAGGGCAATTTTTTAAGGAAAAACTGTGCCATATATATCTGAAAATATGGTAAACATTGTAAATAAAACTTCTTTAATTAAGAACTTTCCATGTAATGAGCTCTGGTACTAATCAAATTCCAATATTTTGTACCCCCCAAAAAGGATACTGACTGGTTGCTAAGCTGATAATGCACCTTTGACTTACATTTAGGAAGTTCCTTCCTTGCTAATAGTCCAGTTATCCTTATAGAGGTTTATCATGGTTTTCCAAAATTGAGCCAAAAAATTCCATGACAATAACTGATAAAGACCATGTCCTTCCTGATACATTCAGAATTTCTCATACAGCTCCACATAAGCTCAGTAGTTAGTGCACTGTCTTAAGATAAACACAGTACTTCTTAAACCAGAGAAGCTGCAGATGACAAAATAATTTTTTAACTTATTCAGCAACACACCAAGCATATTCAAAGTGAAACACTAAACATGCACTACTGTTGGGGAAAATGTGAATTGTGCAAATTACACACAACATTATCATAATTTGGTGTTGCACAGTTTTTCAGTTGATGGTGACCAAGTGCTGGTGACAGGTTTGTATGCAGACTCTCCCAATGTGATGGCACGTGAGGCAGCATATCGCATCTTCCTGCATCCAGACAAACATCAAGAGTATTTGCTTAGCGAGATGCTTAGTTCTCGCCATGAACTTGCTCAGCTGTGTGGCTTTCCTACTTTCAGCCATAGGCAAGTGTGTCTGTATTCCACAGTGCAATCCTTTCTCCAGGGACCTAATTGAGCTGTAAGACAAGTTCTGCTAGGCCGACCATTATGTGATTTTGATGATGCTTATAAAGCCTTCTTTTCTATTACATGATATGTGCACATTTTGAGAAATGGCATAACCATACAATATATTTACTTTCAACACTTTCTGCTTATCTTCAGTCTCTTGTGTAAGTGTTGTTCAGCCTTTTATAAAACAACATGTAGCTCCAGGCTTGACAGTAGAGGTAAAATCAGACTTAAATTTGTAATTCAACAATCACATGTACTGAACCAGGGCTCTGAAGGCAAGCACAGCAGAGACTCCTGAAATGGTGAAGGAGTTCCTCGAGATCATGGCCCAGCAACTCCATAAGAGGGCAGCAGCTGATTTTGACATTATGAAAAAGAGGAAGATAGCTGAAAACCCAGGATCCAATGGACAGGTGTGGATAATGATCCTCCATTTTCAGAAAGTGCAGTGGCCTTACTGGAGTCAAATATCATGCTTCCATGTTAAGCCAAAACATCAAAAATCATCTGCAGTAAAAATGTGCACTTCAGAATTTAAGTTCACATATTTCCAATTATATTCTTTGTGATTCAACATACTTGAACCACTTAGAGCAGATAAAAGTCTATTGTTGGCAGAGCTAGTCAGCAATATATCCACAATTCTGCATCCAGTCTAAATTATATTGTTGACAAAGCTAATCAGAAGAACATATATTATACAGCAATATGGGCTACATTATATATCCTTATGTTTTATTAAACATACACCATGTAAAAAAAAATTCAAATAACACATGCCTAAGGGTACATAATAAATTCTTGTGCAATGAGCCAAAAATACATTATGAAGTTTGATTTGAGTATCATGAGAATTATAGGTTACAGTGAAATTTACCCAGCAACTTCCATTGTAGACCCCAACACCACACTTCATAGATTTGAAATCCCTGGTCTGATTTCTTGCTGGGACAGTAGCTGTCACAGACTTTTAATTTTCTTTAGTCCCTCCTAATAAATATTAGGATAGTAAGTAAAGTATATTCTATGATAAGTTCTTCCATGTCCTTTTGTATACAATAAATACCATCATCATATTAACATTTCATACCCAGTTGACATATTGTCACTAAATAAACCAAGAATCAGTCAGCTTCATAGGATTAAAATATTAATATTACTTATTCCTGTAAACAACAGGCAACAGTCACTAGTGTCTAAACAAGTGGAGTATAGTATAGATATGTTTTGTTGGAAATGGTTAGCCCTTCACTTTGTCTTCCATTAATTTTGTGTATCCCTGTAGTTTGTCCACAAATGTCTTTCTTCCTATTGCAGAATTTGGCCCCATGGGACACACCATATTACACACAGAAAGTGAAACGAGACTGGCTGCAGGTTGGCAGTTCTGAATTCACCCCTTATTTCTCACTTGGAACTTGTATGGAGGGTCTCAACAACCTCATGAACAACTTGTACAATATCAGTCTTGTCAATGATGAGTTGGCACCTGGAGAAATCTGGGCTCCTGATGTTCACAAACTTGCAGGTAACAGAACTTTTGTTTCTTTTAAGAAAATTTTGAATGATTAAATTTAAGCACATATCTCACATATAAAAAATCCTTCCTTCCAGTTTTATCTGTCTGGTTTGCATATCAGTTTTTATAGTACAAAATCAGATATACCACTTTAATTGCTTGGCAACTCTTGAAACTTAGGCATGGCTTATGAATTATCCAATGTCCATAAATATTGTGATAAAAATTAAAAGGTAATTACTAACTAACTCCCTGGTAGCAGAACCCGCAGGTCCAATACCGACAACAACAAAATTACAGAATTACAAATTACACCTATAGCACATTTTATTCAGCACTACAGAAGTAACTGTAAAGAGCATACTGAAAGAACGAGCTCCAATAAAATCTCCAAAAGAGGATAAAATATCAACCTAAAGAACCAAAATGTTTAGTAAGGTCTCTAAAAAGATTTTAATTATGGGCATAATACTGGTAAAGATGATTATGATATGGTAACAGACACAGGTTGGCATTACTGCTAGACTGACACATCTGATCTGGCAACTGAGTGCTAACGTTAATTTTATGTATATCTCATTCAATATTTTCTGAATTAAAAAATATTACAGTTATAATTTGCATAGCTAAATGTATCTACCATGTGATGAGCTGACTATTTATTTATAAAATGGACTTAACTGAACCTTTCTAGAATCAACAATATTGATTGCATTTGGTAAACCCCCTGGTGAGAGTATATTCTCCTTGCCTTTGTGGATAACACTAATTAAAAACAATTGCAGTGAAATTTAATATAAAGTTTATCACTAAAATCTGAAAATGAGGATTTTCATAAATGTTTGGCCAGTAAGTATCAACTATATAATTTAATAAAATTAAATTATTGAATGTGTTCAGTACTTTTCCATTCCATGTTATTGCAGTTTGTTTTAATGATATATTACTTTTTGCTGGTTGGATTTGTAACTAGCATGTTCTGTTGCAGTTATTCATGAAAAAGAGGGACTTCTAGGACATATTTACTGTGATTTCTATGAACGTCCAGGAAAACCCAACCAAGACTGCCACTTTACTATTCGTGGTGGAAAGGAACTACCAGATGGAACATATCAGGTAGCATATGTAGGAATATGACTCCACATATTTTAACTGCCTGCTCCTCATAACATAGTAAAGCATAGTGAAACAGTGTGGATCTCATTTGAAATTTAAACCCACAAGAAACTGGGGTGATAACACCACATGCTAGTTTTCAATGGAACAGGCAATAAACCTGATTTGTGATTTTCCAAAAAACTCTTTTTCATTTCCTGAACTTTCAGGACATACAACTCTTTACCCTGGCAGTGGCAATGTGGTCTCTCACTTTGATGGTAGAATATCTGGGCCTCAACAGTAGATATAACATGAGAATGGAGAAACTACAGAGAGAGGAGCATCACAAGTTATACTGTTCACTTAATATTTAGATGATTAATTCTGACAGATAAGATCAGTGGAACATGCAACATGAATAAAAGGAAAATGAGAAATACAGGAAGGGTACCTTTTGGTTAGGCAAGAGCAAAGCGAAGGGGGCCTATGTAATCTAACATGGGCCTCAAATGGAGGATAGTGCCTTTACAAAGTTATAATGTCAGGGGTGTGGAAAGGGAAAAGCATGCAGAAAAACATGTATTCAGTCTGACCAATCTTGAACCCTGGGCATCTGGCACAAATTCCAACACTCATACATCCAGGCCCCCATTAGGTTTTAAATATTTTATGTCCTTTACTGTTTGTCTCCATTTATCTATCCAGAACCCTGTGGTAGTTCTGATGCTGAATCTGCCAACCCCATGCAGGTCAAGTCCAAGCCTCTTGACCCCTGGCATGGTAGATAATTTGTTCCATGAAATGGGGCATGCTATGCACTCCATGTTGGCACGAACACGCTACCAGCATGTTACAGGGACCAGGTGCACCACTGATTTTGCAGAAGTGCCATCAGTACTGATGGAATATTTTGTTGCTGATCCCAGGGTAAGTGAAAATACATTCAATCATATCACTGAGCATTTGGCCTGACATTTAACAGAATATTTGTCATTCAAAGTGTCGTCTTTCTCTGTGTTTATATTTCAGAATTTTATATTATTTTTTTCTCTCTCTTCTGCAACTGCATGTTTTTAATCCTCCTCCACACTAATAAAATGTATTATATCTTATCAGACCAGGTATCTTTTTCTTTAATTTCTTTCTTATATTTTTAAATGACCTTTATATACCATATTTTAGTATACTAAATGCTGTATGGGGACATTTAATTTTACTGTGTCAGATGTGACAATGGATTAAATTCGCGCATTTGTCACCTTCACAACCATTGTGGCCATTATCATTATATGCCATCACAAACTTGGGTGATTAAGTGTGGCCCAGTTTGGCAAACTTCATTAAGTAGACTTTCCTAAATTGGTCCAAGTCATCATCTTCCTTTTGTATGGTAGTTTATGATTGGTTTTCCACACATTTTACCTTCAGTTTGACAGACATGTTGAAATCATTAAGTTTTTCTTCAAGGTTTTAAGTTCTTGTAGAGTTTTCTAACTTCTGTTAGGGTAACACAAGCATTTGAAGGAATATCTGCATTTTTCAGGTGGTACGCACATTTGCCAGGCACTATGAGACACAGCAGTGCATGCCAGAAGACATGTTGATGCGCCTGTGTGCATCCAAACATTTATTTGCTGCATCAGACATGCAAGTGCAAGTTTTCTATTCTGCTCTTGACCAACAGTATCATGGCTCACATCCTATGGAAGGATCCACAACTGATGTGTTGGCTCAACTACAGAAGCAGTACTATGGCATACCATACGTTCCAAACACAGTAAGTCTGTACCTTATAATTTTGTTACTGTATTTGCTATGCTAGAAAAGCATCTTACATTAGACCATGACTGCTTCCTTCCATACCATTAATCATAATCATCCTATCACCTGATTGAAGAAACTACAAATAAATAAATGTTAGAGGAACAGTACAAATTGTTGAGCTGCTTATTTTGTAATGTAGCCCATTCTCATGATAGGTCCAAATACATTTACTGCACTTCATTCTAAAACACCTTTAATGTAGGATTGAGGTTTTCTTGGCGGTGAGTCTGAAGATTGCTGTCTTATGGCTTGTTGCGCCGTGTAGTCTGGTAGAAGTTTACCGACAGCAGTCTTCACCTTTAATGTATGTTTCTACCTCATAGTGAGAGAGACCACATCTTCCATGAATATAAAACCAGAGGTAAAATTATAGTTTTATATATGTTAATGTTTAGATTTATAGAGAAAAAAACAGAAGGACAAAACATTGAAAACTTCCATGGATTTAGTTATCTACTGTATTCCTGTTACAGGCATGGCAGTTACGGTTCTCACATTTGGTTGGGTATGGAGCTAAATACTATTCATACCTTTTGTCACGTGCTGTGGCAGCATGGATATGGCAAATGTACTTTGAAGCTGATCCTCTGAACTCATCTTCTGGAGAACAATATCGTCAGGAATGCTTGGCGCACGGTGGAGGCAAACCAGCACGTGAACTTGTAGCCGACTTCCTGGGAAGAGAGGTCACTCCTGCCAATCTTGCAAATAGCTTAATAAATGAAATCGACATTACAAATGAACATATTAATAGAATTTGGCAATAATGTTTAGTGGCATGAAATAGTATAAGAACTGCAGGTCTAGAAATCATTATGATATACAAAATGAAATGCTGGTGAATGTTCTTTAGTATGTACTTAATCTTTTAAGTATTAACTATAATTGTGTACTTTGTATATAATGTAAATATTTCATAATTAAAATCTCATATGGTGAAATCAAGGTTAGTAGCATAGACGGGGGAACTGAAGCCTCTGGCTTTATTATGTTCGAGGTTTCCATAGTTGTGTAACAGGAATGCAGAGCACTTCCACTGCTCAATTTGCCTAAAAATATGGCATGACATATGTTCTTTTCTACTCCAGAGGATCAACTAATGGTTTGCTGTCATTGCCAGTACCAGTATCATCATCATCATCATCGCTACTTTCTTCGTGTTTGATTTGTTTTGAGTAATCCTCCTATTACAGATTTTTTGCATCTGTTATGCAGAAATCATGCCACCCTATTGATGCTCTTCATTCACCAGCTTCTCCAATTCTACCATTGTGAATGTTTCATTTTTCTTTTCCACTTCACATTTCACTTCAGCCTACCCAAGTATCATTGTGTTGCACTGGCAATGAAAGGGTGGAAGACATATAGTATGATGCCCCTTTCACTAGAAAATTAATCAGATCCATATACTGTGTCCATGTTTCTGAAAGGGAACATCTCTCTAAAAGCTCAGGTTTTGTTTCTCAAAATACAATTCCTTTCATTTACAACCAGTTCTTTATTTTTTGTTTCCTGCTGGAAGTATTCAATGTTTTATTTGTGGTAACTGAATAGTATCTTGCATTATCTGTGATTATTGCACAATCCCCTTCTGTCCTTGAACATGTCCGTGGTAATTTAACAGTAATCGCATGCTGATTTTTATCTAAACATCCACTGTCTCTCAGGTAGGAACCTTGTATGTGATGATCTTGCATGACATACCATTATAATAAATCTAATTCATTTTCATACACAAACATGTCTGGTGGAATCCTGCTGTATTTCTTTTACTGTATGGTTCTGGTTTACCCAAGGTTTGTCTAGGTAAAAACACTGGCATGTATCAACATACACCCTAATGTTGTACACTTCACAGAAATTTTACTTGCTAAAATAATGTTGCCTTGCTCCATGATGAATTTATGGACTTTGAGCATAAACATTTCAGTAACCTTTAAATGGAAGAAAATGAGCCTGTATGTAAAAATTTTACTCATGTTTTCTTACTCTTGGAAATTCACCTGTCATAAAATTCAAACATGGTTCTGCATACATCTTTCTCATAGTGATGTAGAGCTGTCACTCTTTGGGATGCCTACATAGTAATTAGCAAGAACAATCAACTTATGCTAATATACAGTTCAAAAGCCCATCCACTTAAAAAAATAGTGGATAGGCATACTCCAAGCATACATAAATAATGGACAGCATTTTCATCGCATAATTAACACATTTTATTTAATATCATGATCAAAAACTCAGGTGTGATTTATGGAATATATCCAAAATAAAAATAATGACTGCTTGACCTAACCATAAAATGAAACATTTTTTCTAGAAAAACATGTTAGGTCCTGTACAGAGTTAACTGGTAAAAGCAGCTTACTTTTTATCCCACTTTCCTTTTTTCATAGGTTCATAATATCATGTTCACTTCTGTTCCTCCAAGTAATTATTTATTCAGCTGACAGATTTTCACAATACTTGGATGAACTGCATGCCACTACAGACCATGCCACAAGTCACTTTTAACTTTTCCTAAAACAGGTTTTTGTGGGATGTAGAACAGCTTGGTGGCTGCATAAGATTTACGTGTAGCTTTCAGTCCGACATAGATGACAACCACCAATGGAGCCAGGCATATAAAATTTTAAATGGTGACATCATAAATTACCTACAAACTCTGTATTAAACGTTCATGTATCAACAATTAACAAATATGGTAACAGCATGAAACTTTTTAGGTTATAACAGGCAAATTTAACAACATGATAATTCTTTTAAAATGGAACTTATATAGAGAAATGAAAATGTAGAATTATTCATTTCAATTATTTGCTGGCCTCACTCTACAAACTGAAGCATTTAAAGGAAATCAGGCTTCATTAAGTTCTTTCCAGAAATTACTTCATTTAAATTCATGTATTTACTACATTTCATTAAATTCTGCAACACATTTTCACTGCACTGTAAAAATAAGTTCTCAAAAAAAGTAAAAAAGATAAGTCATCAAATGCACAATCTCTACATTATGCCACTGTTTCTTCACTGTAACTGACTAACCCAGGCTCACAGGTTGCAAAGTGACACCACAAATCACATGATGTGTACGCATGACAAAGAACCACACTATACATTTTTTCTTGCTCTTCATGCTACTACCCTTGTAGAATTGTTGATAAAAACTTTTTTGTAGATATTTGCCACATGAGACAATGGAAGGTATGAAATATATGAATATTTTATCCTTAATTTTACATCAAAAAATGAGTGCATAAATTATGCGATGAAACACATTATTCTCCAAATGCATACCATGCTATTTTGCACACGTCACTGACCTTGATGTTCATTTACTGCACATACAAATCCATTACTGTGAAGTCAACAAACACCACAAACTTGATCCTGTACTGACACATTAATTTTCCTTGTGTTTCATAAATATATATGACAATAAATAATTGTAACTCTTATTGATCTCCATATTTTATCACGTACTGTAAGTCTATCACAAAAGGATAATCAGATTTGAGTGTCAAGAGCAGGGTTGTACTGCACTGATTAACCCAATGGAAACATCCTCCTTCAACCCTTTAAAGGCAAAGTTCATCTAAATAATATTTAAGAATTTAGTCTGTACCACAAAGGAAACACAACACTTCACCATTCCGTTTACCGAAATACAAAAACCGCAAATACAAAATAGAGAATTACTGACTTTTAAAGCTGTTGGTGTATATGGTTATCATATTGCTTTAAAGGGTTAAATAGCTTGCTGATGGGCCTGAAGTATTCAATTACAAGGCCAGATCAAAGCAGATAAAACAAGGGTACATGACCTCTGGTCATGCTGTAGCTCTATGGACATATGACTGCTCAGGAGTATAGCTCGGCATTGGACTTCAATGGATTGAGGAACAAAACAAAATTCAAACAATAACTTTTACAGAAAACACTTAACACCACTTACAAACAAAATCCACTGAGTAGTTTCATTGATGACCATTTTAACTTTGTCACTTGCCACCAAGGCATGGTGCGATGGTGCATCCTAAGGTTATAAAGGGAAGAGAAGTCTCCAGATATGGAGGGTAGCTGCAAATAAATTCAATAAGTAGTTGCAGACAGGGGACAAGAAATGGTCCTACAGCTTCAGGGTTGGGCACATGGCCAACAATTCTGAACTGTAAAACACCAGCATGTTACTAAGGGATTTGGACATATTCTTTGCAATGACTGAAAATGGGCATGAGAACTGGGACTGAGATGGAATTTGCAAACATATATGGATATGGAGTTAAATGACTGGATAGAGTCTGGTGGCAGATCATTTGTGAACATGGTAATGAACTTTGGGCTCCATGATAGATCAAGAAATTGGCTGGTTGAGTATACTATCATCTTGTCAAGGACTCTGCTCCATGCAGTCAATTAGTTTGAGAGATTAAAAAAAACAGACAGAGACAAATATGATCATCCTAGTTGATGTACTTCTTGCAAAGAATGCATAATAAGGTACAGTAGAAGTTCTTTTACAGTGGCTGTTATTTACTGTACTGCCAATATTGTTGTTCAAGTAGTAATACCAATTCCTTTTTAGAGCAATGAACTACTGAATTGTAAGTGTGATAAATTAGCTGCTATAACACAACAAAAAATGTGATTGTGCAACTGTAATGTACCGTACCTCATAAAATTGTTAGCATCTCTACTGACAAACCATCACTGTACTGATACAAAACTGCAAAGCAGGGAACTTAACAGTGAATAGTGAAAATTAAAAATGTCACAGAAAAATGATAATTCAGAATCTGAAACCAAAGTATGTACCATGATTTTATGAATCTGCCAAACATATGTAATGGATGACCTTCCAATTCCTCAGATGGTATTCTCACATTGCACTGTGGTAATGGATAACAAATTGATCCAGAAAAGGGCTTAATCATGCTTCCAATCAAGCATGTTTTTCATGTGAAATTATTAACTTGCCTACATGACTCACTATTCTGGATGCTGGCAGGTTGTTTTTATACCGCATGTTAAATATATATATTTACATATATATGCTTATATAGCCTTTCGCTATTCCGAGGTCAATTAGAGCTGCCACTGTGTTCACTGGAATACAAATTAAAACTACGATTTCTGAGATGAACTGTTGGAAGACTTCCACTTTTTTTTATGAAAAAGTAAATTTTGAAAGGAATATTATTCAGAATTCTTTGTCAGTATTCAAAGAGGCTTGCAAATGTTATTGAACACACATCTATGGTCAAAAACTTCCCATGTAACTTTTATGTTAGCAGATGGCTCTCTGAACAAAAATTAAATAAATTAATTGTACGCACCACACAAGAAACATGCAAGGAATTGCCAATATTTCAAGTTTCGTAAAAAAAATACAGCATCAGAGACCTGCCCCTTATAAAAAAATGGCCAACCTTTCAGGGGTACTCCAACAAACTTCCACCCACACCTCAATGTGTTAAATGAAGGGTAGTGCCCTACCTCTATAACACTGGTTGCTATGGTAAGATAAGAGGAACTCTTGGAAAAAGTGTTCATACCTCACAATGTGAAAATTCTTTTTCATATTTTAATGACAACTGGGAGTAACGTGTGAGATAAATAATGCGGCACAACAGACAAATGTCGCACTCTTCTAAGTATGTTAGACTGTCACATATTTTCTGTCCCTTTCTATACAATTTCCATGTAGTCTCATAACAAGTCATTTCAGTGTTATTTTTTGGCACGCATCTCAATAATCACTGCTTATTATAATCGGAAAACAAGTGTGAATTTTAGCAACTGTATAGCCAGTATATAAATATATAAAGCACTAGGATAGCAATTTTTAGGCCAAATCCTTCAAGACACACTGGACAACTTCCAAAATGCACAATAAATATAAAGATATCAACAGCAGTTCTACCTCTTAAATACACTTTCCAATTATATTTTGGGTCACAAAGTTCACTCTTCTGTAAAATACTTTTCACAACTCTGACTTTACATAAAGGGCAAACAGTTAAAGATGGAGGTAATAAAAGAACATTATTCTTATAAGCATACACATGAAATGTAACTTGTTGCATAAATAATACACAGAGTACTAATATAATATTTATCATGACTTCATTTTTCTTATACACATAATCAGAATGAATACAGAATGGTTCAATGAAGAGTTTTTTATATCTCTGAAAATTTGAAACTGCCCCCAAATTTTGAAGTGCATATATATATATATCAAAGTACAAAAACATTATTCAACACAACCTCTTTAATAAGGACATGCTGATGATGTAACGCAGCAACAAACTGTTGACAGAAGTGAGACCCCCCTTTTGCAAATTCCACTTCTCAGTGCCTGCACTTACAATTTGTCACGTAGGCAACAGAGATGCTTATGGTTTCCAGGGGTGAAGCATTCATGTTAACAGTGTTAGATGGGCCAATACAGTGAACTTAAATGCTCCACCCCTACAGTTTGTCAATAAGAATTACAATTGAAAGGTAAGTTGTCGGTACCGAAGCATGAAAAATGTGTACAGGAGGTATGAATGTAAAGTATCACATATTCTGGACTTTGATTTAGTGGAGGTGAGTGGTTTATGATTTATTCCTCTAGTTCCAACCATGTTTGACTATGTGCTTATGAAAAACAGAAGTTGTTTGGATTGATAATATTGTTATTTTGGTAGGTTAGAATTGTGAAATCCTTTCAAATCAATTAAACATCATGATAGAAAGGAAGAACTGCCATTTGATGTACCAAAAACATACATTCACTGAAATGACCTGTGAAACGAGACTTCTTAATATTTACATCACAAGTAACGAGCTTATCTCCTCATTTTATAATCTCTACGCACACTCACACACAATCCCCATAATGTGTGGGTACAAAAAAAAAACAGAGAGAGAAAGAGAAAAGAATTCTCATTAACCGTCACTCACAAGCATATTTTAAGAAGTATTCTTATTTCCTTTTTACACTTTTCCCTTCACAATCACACAACACTGCACTGTGTCTGTGCCTTACGCAACATAATTATACTGGTTAGGGTTGTCTTTATCCCTCTCCATGTAGTCCCGATCAATCAATGATTCAATGCGTTTCTTCAAGTCAGCAGGCTGAAATGAAAGATATGTTACAAGCAATACAAGTCCTGAGAAGGACACACTGTATCTACTTTTCTTAAAAGATGATAATGAATTTAACCAAGCCACCCAAACTACTTCATACCCAAATATTTTTAACATTAAAATGAAGTACTTTATTTCATTACACACATAAAAGTTTCACTTACCAAAAGCAGACAGTAAACAATCTTCATGAAGTAATAAGATTACAAGCAAGGTTAGACATGTAACTTCCCCCTCAATAAGTGAAGTAAAGCTGTCCCACTATAAGCCATGTAGGCACTTGGAGGGGGGGAGAGCAGGTACAGTTCCTACTCATTCTTAACCTTGGCACTAGATATGGGTGGGTGGTCAGTGTCAAGCCCTGGCCATGCTTTACCCCCAGGGAAGGGTCCTGGTACCCAATAAATAGGAGGATGGGTATGCCCCAGAGCCGGTCTACATGTAGAGGCTAGTAGAAAAATCCTCTGCCCATCAGAGATTGAAACCCAGTTGTCCAGTCCATAGTCAGTCACTATACTGATCGAGCTACCCCAGCTCCACAGTACTGACTACATAATGCTTAAAGTGCGGCAGGCAAATGAGCTAATCACGTACCTTAACAGGGAACTTGAGCTGGTTGTAGAGTTCGCTTATAAGAAGGTTATGACTCAGAGATTTCCTCATCTTCATGATGCGTACAATAGCTGCGTCTATCTGGTACTGTCTGTCTTGGAACACTCGTTCCTCTGTTGCTTTCTGCTCCTCTGTCTGCAGAAAATATAAATGTTACTGCATATTTATCTATGCAACTACAATTTTCTAAAATTTTGTAAAATAAAATGCTCCTTCTAAAGCATACTTGGTAGTGATGACAGCACATTATGGGAATGTGTTCAGTATTTCTGATAGTGCTACATTTGTACAAAATTTCAGGCACATTTCATTCAATTCCATGAAAGCATACTGAAGTATTTGCCTTGATTCCATTTAATAAAAAATGCATGAAGGTGTAAGGTGACCTTAAGTGGTATGGCTTTCATCACTCCACTGGATCAGAATTCATTAGGTGATCACATAAACCTTTAAGCTTACCGTTTCCTTCATCTGAATTTGATTAATTTTGATGCGAAACAATTTATTGGCAAAGTCCTTGTTAAATTGAAACTTGTCTAAGTCCTCAACATCACGACCTCTTGGAGTCTTCTGCAACACCCGCGCTTTACCACAAGCTAGAGACTGTAAAGTTCTACGTAGTTCACCATCCTGTAAAGAACATAACCTGTGTCTCATGCTTTTATTTTGGAGTGTAGAGTGAAGAATAAAACTTAAAATAAGAGATACATCCAAAATAAGCAATAACATGAGAAAATGAGTGACAAGTGAAATATACTATAGTAACTCAATAAAGAATAAGTCTTAAAAACAACACGAGAATGAGGACAGAAAAAAACATGTACAATGAAGAAACAACATATTTCAGAAGTACCAGTACCATAATTTGAAATGATGATGATGATCATCATCATCATCATCATGAGACAAATTAAAACTGCACTGTTAGCAGCAGTGAAGCCTACTGGTAATTGTATGTACAGTATAATATTTTCATGGCATTCGTGCTATTGCTGTTATATCATGTGTTTTTGTGTAAATTTCTAGAGTGGGACAATAATATAATTTATAATTTTTTTGTCTGCAGCATTAGTTTTATTACAACTTTTATCTTACAAATGTTCCAAAGAATTAGGGCGAACATCTGACTTGGGGGTGCATGGTATTTTGATAAATATGATACCTGAAGCCACAAGTACCTTCTTCAATACCCTTTCAAAATTCATAATTCATTAATCATCTGATCATTCAATGCCTACCAGTCTAACCTACTTACAGCATCTTTAAATAAACCACAAATAAATAAAGTGTATTTTGTTACAAGTCCTTCTTTCATCAAGAACAAAATAACCTATATGAATCAAAATGAACAGTTGATTAACATTACCTCTATATTTGTGAAAGTCTTCAGTTCTTCTAATGATAGTTCATCAGAATTGTTGAAAAGTAAGAGTACAAGGGCTTGAAATAAAGATACCATCAGCTCTTTTTTGCCCTGCAACAGAATAACACAACTGAGATTAAAGCTGTTACCTACTAAGCTGAAGCTAAGCTATAACACAACAATCTGGAACTGTGCCCATATATTAAACACTCGTCTTCATATGAAATTCATAAAATTAATACATATTGAGGATATTATATCCATGTCATGTTTTATCTAAAAATTTAATGGATTCTAATCAAATTTGTAATTAGGTATGTACATCAAAATCAGTTGGGGAAATTTTATTCTGGTCTGCATTTATGCACTATAACTTCTTAATTATATTACACTCAATTTGCATTTCATCTAATCCGTTAAAAACAGTTCACTGTACAAGAAAATAATACACCATGTGAAATACAGTTCTCACTACAATTTGTAATTCTGATACAAAACAATTAATTAATTAAATTAAATCCGTGGCGAAACAGCTCCAGAGAGCCAAAGCTGACTAGCTTGACTGCTGGCCTCACGTTCACATGCCTCAGCAGAGGTGAACGATCATCCAACCAGATACAGGGTGACGTGTGGTCAGCACAACGAACCCCCAGCCATTGCTAGCTTTCCTGACCGGATTACGCTACCCATTGTAGCTCCCCAATTTCCTCACGATGCTGGGTTGGCACCGGTCCCATACACTGGTCGAAAGCTCATGAGAAAATTTCTTCTCCCCCGAGACTCGAACCAGCACGCCTTCCGTATCGCCGGTCCGAAGCATGACGCCTCAGACCACGCGGCTACGGCGCGGGACGATACAAAACAATGAAAAATAATATATGCCTCTATGCACTATAATATCTGCAAAACTGACCTGCTTTGTCAACACTTTATAACTATTGCAATAAAGTATCTTTATTACTAGTTATCACCATTAACAGCAGACTTGTTTATGTCACAAATAAGTATCAAGAACAAACTATATCCACAGAACTTGTATACATTCCCCTCACTTCTCTCAAATGTTCACCTGCGCAAATGTAGCTTTCAGCACACAATGTCCAAGCGTCGGTTGCCACTGGAGTTTGCGTCCACTGTGTTTGCCTAGGTAGAATTTATTGAAGATAGTCTGGTACTGAACCATTTCCATAGGAAGGGTTACCTCCAGAACAGGGTAAGTTGGCCAGTAGCCCATTGTCAAGATGTTGACTGTCAAGTCAATACTTGACAAATGTGGGTAGCGCATGTTGCCCATGTGCTGAAAATACACTAAATTCTGTGATTAAAAATTACAAGCCAAAGGAGCTATTCCAATCATGCCCAACAAATTTAACATGTAAAACATTTTCCAAGTAGAGTTTTCTACATACATTATGAACTTTACCTTCATCAGAGTTGAGGGCAGAAAAATACGTACAACAGAATGTCCACTGGATTTGAACAATCTCAATCCTGAGCCCTCTTGCACAGAAGCCCAGCCCCATTACTTTACACTACCAGGTGATCCCACTATCAATATCTTCAACCACATTATCAAAGCACCTATAAGGCCAGGACCATCTTGAGAAGCTTATCAATCCATTCCCTGTCTTTTATGGAGTTGACCTATTCAGTACCAGCTGAATTCATTCACCATTCACACACACTACTTCTTTAAAATTGATTTAAATATTATCTTCCCTTCTGACTTTCTAACCAAAACTCTGCTTTAGTTTTCATCTTCCCCATCTCATATTTCTTGATTTAATCACCTTAATAATATCTGGAGAATAATACACATTACAAAACTCCATTCTCCTGCTACTTCCTCTCTCTTAGGTAAAAATATTCTCCTCAACATCCTGTTCTTGAACACCCTCAATCTCTGTTTTTTTAGACCAAGTTTCCACTCATACAAAGCAGCAAGTAAAATTACAGTTTTATTTATTTTAATTTAAGAGCTTATTTTACTGTGAGAAGATATGAACACAGAGAAATTCAGAATGTTTGAATATGAAATCCATGTTTCATGATATTAGCTCACATTATCAAAATTCATATTAAATAAATGGGTGCTCCATCAGTTATCTGGTACTTTATACACAACAGCTAATGAATTTAACAGATTTCTTTCTGATGGGATTCAATTTTGTAAAACTGATATTTATTTCATCACGGTATCTCCTGTTGCAGTAATTCTAAAATAAAACTTCAGTTTAACCATAGGTTAGAGGTGAAGATCCAACTGAGTGTGTGATGATGTGTTGGCTGGCCAGTCCAGTCCTACTGCACTCACAGAACAATGAATGGCAAGGGAAAATCCAAAGTACTCACATCAAATATGTCCAAATGCTGCTTTGCCCACCATGAATCCCAAGCCAAAGCCAGAAGCCTGAGTCCTACCTGCTTGAATGCAATGTTGATGTCTTTACTCAGTTCCATATCCTTGAACATCCCCTCTAGCTTTGAAGTGAAGCCTCCACCACACTCCTGCTTCAACTTTGACAACATACTTTTCTCTGCATCCACACTTGCTGACTTCCCAACAAGCAGTCGCTTTGCAAGGTCCTGTGATTTAGAGAGTTCCAAAGCATTAACATAAAACTGAAAATTAATATGCATACATGTTTCATCTTTAAAACTATACAAATGAGTCTTAATGAGATTCTAACTAAAAGTTATCAGGAAAATTTCATTTTGGTTTTACCTACATTTGTATGAGACCTTTTAGGTTACACTCTGTACATTAAGTATGCTCAACATGTGTTATTTTCCATTCCTTCCACCATCTCAGTTGAAGAAGAAAAAAATTGCATGAAAAGTGTATATGTTGTTCAACGAGCCTTGCACAGACAAGTTCAGAACACTGAATGACATTAGTGTATCTCTCCCCCAAAAAGTAAACAAAACCACCATAAAATATGGCTTTTCATGTCATTGCTTATACCAAGAAAATTTGTCAGGTGATGTCTGTAACACTGTCAGCAATGACTAACTTAGGATGGACAAACAGGTGATAAGGGTCATTAATACTGTTCCAAAAAATAAAGAGGTTCCCAATAATGCAATATTAGTATAGTATAATGAAATGAACATCAGATTTTACTTGTACTTGCACAGTAATTATACCTTCTTGTAGAATGCCTCAAACACATCCTTGCCATGGATGAAACGAAAGAGGACCATGATTTTGTCTAGAAGTCGTTCCAGCTCCTCTTCCGTTGACTCTTTATTTCCTGCACGTAGTTTCGAATCCACAAATTTGGCTGCACAGTAAAACATCAATGAATTAAATTTACTAGCCTTTGAAAGCAAAAACTGTGTTATAATGGTGTTCTGCATGCATCTGTAAACATAGTACTGAACCTTTGGCTTCCATAAAAGATGGGGAATTTCTTGCTTAGCTAGCTTCTAAAGTTGGTCTCTGCTCTATGGAGTTAATGACATTCTATCCTATACACAATGCCATTCAGTACCACCTTCCGACTTACTGGTGAAGTCTGCTTTCAGACAATAGTAAAAATTCAGATTAGGTACTGGATTCAACATAATACTGTACTTGTAAAAAATATGCAAGTGCTGAAACTTACAAAAGTAACTAAATCTGACTTCACAAACAGTTGATCAGATGGTCAAAACATTCAATGCATTCATGGAATTCAAATGTTTGTTATATGAACACTTTCAGACGCCACGGTGGTCTAGCGGTTAGAACGCTGGCCTTGTAATCCTGGGGTCTCGGGTTCGAATTTATACGGGGTGCGATCGGAAAGTTTCAAGACTGTGTCAATAGAGGGCGAACCGGATGTAGTACGAGCTTCTGCCGCTAGGGGGTGCGGCCTACATTCATAGTGAATCAGTGTGCCAGCCGGCATCATCGAATTAGCATTTGTTTCTTAGTTACGGGCGTTTTGGTAGTGCATTACACCGACCCTCCTGCGATTTCGGAATGGCGTGTGCATCAAATTTTGCCAAAGACTCGCCAAAACGGCTACGGAAATTTATGAAATGCTAACGCAAGCATTGTTGGGATAGGCTATGGGGCCTGTCAGCTGATTCTAAAGGAAGAACTCCACATGCGACGCATCCTGTCAGAGGACTAGAAGCAGAATCGACTTCTCGTTTGTCAGGAGCTCAAAGATCTTGCAAGATCCGACCCCAACTTCCTTTCTAAGCTCTGTGTGACTTCTTCCTCTTCCCAAAGTTGAAAATTCAGCTAAAGGGAAGGAGATTTGAGACGATAGAAGAGATTCAGGCAGAATCGCAGATGGTGCTTGACAGGCTGACAAAGAAAGATTTCCAGGGATGCTTCCAGGCTTGGCAGCGGCGCTGGGATCGTTGTGTTCACTCCCAGGGGAACTACTTCGAGGGTGATGGATAAATTTAATACCTGAGATAAGTGTACGGGTTTTTATACGCGCAGTCTGGAAACCTTTCAATCGCACCTCGTATTGCTTCGGCTGTTCCACAGAATGTATTGAAGTCCATGGCCCTGTGAATCATCCAAGATGGTCAGTGACTGTCAGCCCCTGCCTGACCCCCAGGTTGGAGGACCACTCCTTATTGGCTGTCTGATTGCTTATTCAAATATTAATAGCTACCCTTCAAATCTCGAGGCCATCTCCTCAATCAGCAACCTGAGAATGCATTATGCCGTGGCAACAAGGGACCTACTTAGAAATGCAAACTAACTAGATTTGAAGAAAATAAAATAAAATTCAATACATCAATTTAATCTAATATTATCAGCAACATAATACCCCCCCCCCCCCCCCCGAAGCACTTGTGTGAGACCAGTATATGACTACTGCAAAATATCCAGTCAGTAGTCAATTACAATGAAATTCACAATGGTGATCAACAATAATTTTTTCTACATATGAAATTAAGTTTCAGCGAATAATATTAGATATAATTTTTATGCACAGCAACTGATAACAACATTCCCCAATATTACTGTCACTTTTATCATCCTTCTTGTAAATACGTACAATAACAGAAACTTTCCACTGCTCTAACAATTATTCATTATTCCAAATAGATTTAATATGTTTTTGGATCTCAAAACACAATGTATTACCTCCTGCTTGGATAAATTCTGCCAAAATCTGTTAAAGAACTAGCAATATATGTTCTGAACTTTTCAATCTAAATCTAAACCTCAAAAGAGATAGGCTTCAGTATTAAAAACTCAGATGTATTTCTGTCTGCCTAACATCATTAACTCCATTTCAATCAATAGCTGGAAAAAGTAATTCCTTCACCTATTTAAAATGGTATGGGAATCTGCAAGATAATCATTCTCATCTTTTACCAAGCTAGTTCTAGGTTGGTAACAATTCTTAAATAATTTTTGCCTCTGTAACAAGTCTATATTTTTGCTTTTACTGCATCAAGCTCGTTACTTTTGTATTTCTGGTATTTCCTTTTTTGATCCTGAGAGATCTACTAGGATCATGTCTCACAAGAGTAATAGCTGCCATTAAACTATATGGCAAGATTAATGTTCAAGCAAACATGATAGAAAAGCCGTAACATGGCAGCCTAGAGCACAACTTAAATACTTAAGGTTTGTTGGCACGCTGGTTCACAAAATGCTCAAATGCTTCTTTAAGACTATTTGCAAACTTGTCATTTCTTTGGAAACAGTGACTCACTATGTTATCCATCTTGTCCTTAAAGTCCAGCAGCTCTTGAACCATTGTCTTATCTTTCTCAGGGTCAATAACGATTGTACGACCCTTCTTCTGTTTGAGGAAATAAGATAAAAGTCACAATGTTTTCAGAGGTAAGCAAGAACAATAGAAATTATTATTATTAATATTAACTGCAAATGGGTTTATACCTGGTGGCAGTAGTGCTACAATAAGACACAAACAACACAACACACATCACTCAAAATAAAACAACTGATAAAATTACAAAACCATAAGGCACACACATTACACAAAATAAAAACACAAGTATTTAAACACAACAGATAACTTAAAAATTAATACCAACTAGACATAAGACAGTCCCCCCCCCCCCCCCCCCACATCATAAAGTTTTCACTTTGTTGTCAAAGAAGAGCATAAACTACAAGTAACAAGACAATGGAAGATAATTATACATTGTGAACTTCAGTCCACCTGTAGGTGGACTGAAGTTTTCCATCTTCTGGGTTGTTGCGTTGTATAGTCTGGTAGATGTTTACCAACGTTTCAGAGGTCATACTGCCTCCATCATCAGGGCAGTATGACCTCTGAAACGTTGGTAAACATCTACCAGACTATACAACGCAACAACCCAGAAGATGGAAAACTTCAGTCCACCTAGTATAGAAAGGATGACCAAGTTACAGAGGTTACCACAGTCTATAGCAGTGGTATTCAACCTGGGGTACGCGTACCCCCGGGGGTACACGAAGACATCTTAGGGGGTATGCGAAATTTAAAAATTATATATATTATTTTATGATAACACTGAATAATCAGTAATGTAATTTATTTTAGATGTAGATTATATACTATGTATAACTTGAATTATACACCAACAACTTTGGGGGTACAAAATGAAGAGACATTATATCTGGGGGTACGCGAACAAAAAAGGTTGAATACCACTGGTCTATAGGACTTACCCAGCATCCTATCCAATGAATACTATGGCTCTTTCCCCAACAGGAAAGTAGGCTGAAGTATGAGGCTGATCACATACTTGTCTCATGCTAAAGCCAAGAATGTGTGGAGCTTTACTTCCACATGGCCCATATTCCTTCACAGTGTGGTGGTGTAAATTTACATTTTTATCACTTGATACCTTCACAGTTGATGCAGCATTGTTAAATAATCTCATAAAACACACAGAAATAAAATGAGCTGCAAAATTATGCTTCCAGCTTACTCACTTTTATATATGTGTTAAAATTGAGGCACAACTCCACCAGACCATTCTTGACTCTCGTAAATAAACTGTACAGTAGTGTAAGGTTGTGCACCCTGTTCTCCTCCAGCAAGCTGTCCAAACCTTTTTGGAGAATGGATGTCAGGTGTTCTGACAGCAACTGCTTCTCCACTGTGTGTATGAGTGGCCATCTGGATACAACAAATAAAAACACAACCAACTTATGAAGTCAGGATTTAAAAATAACACATGAAAATTCACGAATAGCCTAACAATGGATTCATACTTTGTTGCAGGATCAAGGTAGTGCAAAAGTCTCTCATTCTCCTCATTCAACCGTTTGTCAACATGGGCCAGGTACTCTGGCACATCATGTTCTTGCATGAGACGCTGCCCCTCAGCTGCATATAACCGCTCTGTTGCTACAAGGAACTTGCTCTCAAAAGCCTCTTGATATATCTGCAGGTCTGACAACATCCGCAGAAGAGACTTCAAAAGAGTCCTATCAACAGTGTCACCTTGTCGCTCCTTCTCAATAAGCATAAGAAGGCCCTCCACTGTCCTTGTCTGTACCAAAGTGTTCAACACAATATGGTGCCGGAACAAATCCAGTCCCATGTCCCTGTAAGCACAAATCTATTTTAAATCTGCTGCCTGTGAACCAGAATTCATAATTTGCTGATCACATATCTGTATTCTAATAACGTCTTCATGAAGACAAGACAGGATATGAATGTCACATGATCTTTATTAAACAGAATTTCAGTCCACTTATCCATCCAAGATATTCCTTACAATATTATGTAATCACAATTCTAAAACGAATGTCATTAACACTAATTACTTTAATTATTCTCAATAAAATAACCCAAGCAGCACTTCTGTTACTACATGACAACAAATTGGGGAGAGCAACCTGACACAACAAAAATGATATACCTATACTGAGCTTCAATCTGCAGTGATTTTGAATATAAAGGGGGGGAAATGATAGCAAAAACAATTCAAAATTACAAAGATGCCTCAGTAGCAACCTGAAGTCACTTTGCCTATAAGTAATGAAGCAACAATTTTAACATGAAAAGAAACTGTTCTTGATGTCCAAAATTCCAAATCTCAATTTCCCTTCCTGGGACCAAGTTATGCACACCAAATGAACTTCAAAAATAATATTATAAAATACTCACCAAATAGAATGGATGGTTGGGTTCTGGAGTACATATGTGCGATCTAGATAGAGGAAGATTCCCCGGATCATGATCATCTGCTGACAGTGTGAAAGCCAACATTCATTCATTCTTTTAAGAAAAATATGGCGATCCATCGACTCAGCCATGAACTGCTCAATATTTGCCTTCACATGCTTTTCTGTTAAACCTGCATAACCAAAATCACAGAAACACTGCCAGTTCCTTCCCACCAAAACTTCTCTCTTTCCTAAGTAGTTACTAACAAGCAAAATAATTAACATTCTCATACCAACCTCCAAAAGAATTCTACATACAAAAGAAAACACGACAGAAAGGAAGTGAAAGACAGAAAATCGTTATTTAACTATTTTTAATTCTGATGAAAATTTTCAAAATTACATCTGTCCAGCAACAGTTAATTTCTATCACCAGCTTCACAAAACGGCTGATACATGATACAGAGGATTAATCTAATCAAAAGTGATACTTTATGCAGTCAGTCAAGTTGATCTTGACATTATAAGGGTTAACTAAGTAAAACTAATGTACAGCTTTTCTCAACAGTTATTCAGCTAACCAAAAAATGTCCTGCTGATATGGAATCTGAAGCTTTATCATTGTGTTCACAGAAGTCTTCCACTGGAATTTATCCTGAACCAAATCAATCCAATCCACATCTTCACAGTCTATTCCTCTAAGATCCATATCACTATTGTTCTCTTCTCTCTGCATGTCTCCCATAGTTCCTTTACAGTTGTTTCTGGATTCCTTGTCTCCCCCATACATGAAATATCTAGAGTTCTTCTCCACCTTTTAATGTAATCACTATAACAATGCAATTCCTTTGATAAACACCCTGGAGTGATACTTACTAGTCAGATTTATATATAATGTTGAAGCCATTTTATGGTTGCACATATTCTCAACTGCTTGATAAAGCTCTTCAAGGCTATAGCGAATAGATTTCGAAGTCTGGATTGCTACTACTGCTTCTTTCAACTTGTCCCAGGTTTGTTCTTGGTAATTATCAGGAAGTTTGGGTTTCTCTGTAAACACATAAAACACACTTACAAATGAGATAATGTATGGAATTTTTAACTACTGAACAAGAACATTTCTTTCAACAATATTTAATTTTTGTAACATTACTTGTACAAATGCATCATGGAGACAAGCTACACAGACAGGTTTTCCTCAATCCCTCAGAACAATTGCTAAGTCAGTGCCTTGAGCAAGCCATGACTGTTTCGTTCCATGTTATATAGATTAAATTACTTATAATTGTACTATTGTATCTCTTTCAACACTACATAACCTATATAGTTGATAAAGTGGCATTCCATAAAACTACAAACAAAACAAAACAAGATATAGCACTGACAATGCTGACCAAACATCTTAGAAAATTAGTTCTTTTATCAGTTTTATATTACCACTACAAGAATTCTTTGGATCTAATTCTTGTGGCAGCTGTCAATAATTACGAAAGGCTGGAAATTCTTCATATGGGTAACTTCATAGACTTTAAGATTTTGTCAGGTAACATGTAATGATAGTTGTGGATGATAAATCATGAGAGTTGGAAGGAAACATGTGGCCTATTTTACAATTCTATCACAGCATTTGCCTGGAGGGTTTAAAGAAAAGTATAAGTAACCTCTGGACAGCTACTCCCCAGCCAAATATCATTGCATTAGTATAGAAAGCAAAAATCCAAAAACATATCAACAGTACTAAAACCAATGTTTAGACAGATTACAGACAGACGGTAAATAAACTTCAGATTATTGCAGTAACTCAAACTATTTGCATATAAACAAAAAAATTTATGACATATATACATATGTGTGTGCATCATAAAATTTGACAAATAGTTTATGCAAGTGTGGCATAAAATCTCCCCTTCTTCTGAATAATGAAACTACTTTCTGAGATTATTCCAGATTTGCATCCATCCCCTTTTAAACTTATACAGAAAAAACTGCATTTGATCTTCACTGATACAGGTACCACAGAGCAATGCACCAAATCACAACTCAACCTATTTATACAAAACCTTTCATGTGGGCAACAAAAACATGGAGAGGTACACCAATTTGGAATATATAAGAGTTAAAAACTACATTCAAAGCGTTTCACATCTTTCTGTCTCTCATTCATTTACCATATATATATATATATATATATATATATATGTGTGTGTGTGTGTGTGTGTGTGTGTGTGTGTGATACTACACTCTATAGTCTTAAACTCAGTTGTTCACTAAGCAAATAGGTAATGCAGATATTACACAGCATGGAAACATGTTACTTTCTCCTTGTATTATATTAAACACAAATCAGATCAAAGATATTTGAAATTAGACTTATGTATCTGTATATGATCTGTATTTTGTGACATATTTGAATCTGATGCACAATGAGTGGTTTCTGACATACAAATTTGAAATGTGGGCTTCATGTGTAAGGGTATGGTGGGTAAACATGAACCAAAATAAAATTCACATAAAAGCTTTTAGTGTAGACATGCAATAATCAATTTCATGGAAATCCAAGCAGTAATTCTGGCAATAAAATATGCAGCTGGATGATCAAACATAATTCTCCATTCTATGCACTTTACTCATTCTTGTGGTTTATCTGTCAGGTGAGCTGTGTTCAATCATTATTTACTGTCCCATCTACAAATTACTTTCAGTGGTATCTCTTTACAATACTATGACCCATTACATATTTTCCTTTTTGTAGTATATGGTCCAACATCACAATATTCATTTACCAGCAGGCACCTGTAGTTGTATTGCTACAGCCACAAGTATTTTTGCCCTTGTTTAGAAGAAATGTTAAATTTCTCTGACAAAACCAATTTTAGTGTCAGATAATCTTAGGCTGTTACATTAGGTTTCTGTCGGATCTAATAATTAAAAACCAATTCTTCAATAATGATATCACGTAGATTCATGCCAATGAGGCCCAAGTATATTGCACACACAATGAACTACTATGCACAAGAACTTTTATATAATGCAGCAGTTATTATAAGCTCAATATAAGATCATATTTGAGACTGCACTACATTAAAACATATTAACTGAAACAAAGACTGTTAACTCATCCGTGGCATGCTATGCACATGTACTTCTAACAATGCAAACGTTAATGCTCTGCAGCTTTCATAATTATGCAAAGATAAGTAATGATTTCAAATGTTATAGCTGTTCTGTTACTTTTCAATAAAAGTGTGTGTTTTTAAGTATTACTTTAGATTTTCCTATCGTTCTTGATGGACAAGTTCCCAGCATTACACATTTTTAAAATAGGTATTACTTCTATTTAAAGGAACACTTAAATTTAGCTGTACAAATAGTGACCACTCTTTCTTTATCCTTGAGCTTCATCACTGTCACTTTATAACACACTTCACGTTATCTTCAAGTTTGTTAACATCAAACTACATGTTTCAACTAAAATTAGAAAAGGCCAATATTAAAGTAGCTACACAAATTTCAGTTCTAATGCATTCAATGCCTGTACTGTGAATGTTATATGAATATTACTGGTTAAGATGGGGCAATACCATACCTTTAAAGTTTTTTATCACCAATTTCTTTGCTGCGCCGGGTTTCGTGTTTACTAAGGGAGATGTTTTGCTTACACCATTAGGATTACTAAGAGCCGAAAAGTTTGCTCTCCTTTGATTATTTTGAGTAGTATCAGTCATATTGTTGTCTTCTTGTTTTAATCTCTTGCTAATATTTTCACTGTTCGAAGAGTTCCTCTTTCTCCGAAAACTCACACGGTCCTCCCCTTGCTGGGTTTCATGGACATGGGTCTTAGTAAGACTTGACATAGAAGTGCATGACACGGCCGTAGCCACAATCAAAGTATTTCTAAAAATTTAAATAAGTATGTGGAAAAAACACTTCCTACTCTAGATTTGTTCGCCATTCACTGCAACGATCTGAAATATCTCGCGATTTACGAAAAACAACGAGAACGTTGATAGTATACAATCTAAAGCAAGGTAGGGACAATATCAAGATTTCCTATTTTCTTAAAGCCCAACCACTGCCACCTATACTTACTTCAAACGACAGATTTGAACATACCGATTTGCAACTCTATGCAACGGAAGTCTCATTTCACACTTCTGCCATCTCTTAACGCAGCTCCTTCAACTATAGCGAGGATGTAGATGTCGATAGCACAATTGGTAACATACGGAACTATTATTCCATACTGTCGACTTCGAGCTGTCAAATTGGGACCAAGTGATTGACGCGTGATTCGGAGACCACCATTGTCCCTATCCTGAGTCTGATGAATCCAGTCCACACCCTACCATCTTATTCCATTAAGAACCTTGTTGAAGAGGTCATGCTACCATCCATCACTGGCATTATGAATTAGTTGATATATAACCATTCTATTCCATAGTAGAATTTAAGAGTTTCACAGCAGAGTCCGAAGATGGCTGTTTTCAGGTTTGTAGCATAGTGTAGTGTCGTAGAAGTTTAACAACATATCACCACCAGCCTCCATCATCTCCCTGGTGATGGAGGCAACAAGGACTGCTGAAACGTTGGTAAACTTATACCAGATTAATTGAATAAAAATTTACTTGGATATTATCCATCGTCTAGTAATAAAACGTAAAAAAAAACGTTTTATTACTAGACGATGGATAATATCCAAGTAAATTTTTATTCAATTAACTCTTCACCATTGTCAAGAAGTTTTAGATTTGTTATACCAGATTAAATGGTGCTACAATCCAGAAGACTTGACATCTTCCATTCTAATCCTTATTCACCTTTGTGTCATCCAAGCCCAAATTTTCTATCATAATTCAATACTAGACATTTCAGGTAGGAAAACCTTTTGAATAGTATACATCCTTTAAGAACATTTTATTTAACATCGTGTTGTTTTTCAATCATAATTTAATTACATTCTGTGGATCATTCACAGGGCTAACCCATATTGTGAAGAATATCAATTTCATTAGTACCACAACATGAAATTACAGTACAATTAAAGTACAAGATTATTCATAACTGTGACTTTTATGATGAACATACTTCAATTTTTATATGGTATAAGTACTCTGAACTAATATACTTAATTTCATTAGTGGGGATGTGGTGGTTTACTGTTAGGATTCATCTTTACCATGCTAAATGTTACTTTTAGCTGTATTCAGTATGAGTATTCTGCTTATCACATCAGTTCTCACTACTTACAAGTACAAAACTTAATGAGAATAAAGAATGCTAGACCCTTCTAAAGTAAATGGTAAACAGCAAACTGTAGGTACTCTACTCTGGACATACTGCAGTGAGAATTTCAAATCAGAATGAGATTTTCTTGGTGGTAAAATACACACTTCCAGATTATTATCTGAGCATAATGAGAGTACCACAGTTATTATTTCTTTGGTCTGCCTAGTTTCTTACTTGCTGGGCATGGTGAGGGAATCCATGTGGTAGATTTCACTAATCGTATTAACACAATGATGCTAAGAATGAAGATGGACTTCTGCCAGACTACACAGTGCAACAATCCAGAAGACAGCCATCTTAATAAACCCTTTATGCTATTGCTGTTTGTGAATTACAAAGAAAGAAATAAAGCCACAAACAATAAGAATGAATGGCAATCATGTCTTCCTGAAAATGATGTTTTGTACTAGAGAGACTACAGTATAAATGCTAGTAATTACTGTACCACATCCAACAACATTAACAATTTGGAAGTGTTATATGTACAGCAAGAATAGCAATTATGTATTATGGTAACGTTGATGCATCAATTAAATCACTATAGTTTGAAAATTATAGCTTGAGCTTTCTATTATAGAATCTATAATGATCAATCAGATTAATGCTGGTCAATGTATCTGCTTAAACTAACCAAAGAAATTAAGGTATGTTTTTCTTGGAACAACAGCCATGTATCAAGAAACATTTTGGTATATCCTGCAGCATTTGTATAACCATTGCTTTAGGTTGAAAGAAAACCTACATCATACTTGAGACACAATATGAATGCTTGTTTAATCAGTGAAGCAGACTGTCTTTCATTTTAATGGCCTTTTTAGAACAGAGACTGTTAATGCTGCTGTCCTTTCAAAAATGAGAAGTCCCAAACAGTGCCTTACTTTGTTCAAATAGTTTAGTTTAAAAATTCTTCTTGTATTTGTTTTGTTTTAGAAATTTTTATTAGCCACTGTTTCCACAAAATTCTGAAGACAAATGTGAAATTCAATGTGTTTGAATATTTATTTGGAACTAACAGCATTTCGTAATGCTGACATGATATCTGACTTTCGACCACATAAGTCTGTACTATCAGACACATGGAGAAGTTATTTTAATGAATACTTTACAGATAACATGTATGACTTCTATGTACATTTCAGTTTAACAGACTATCCTATAGCAGGAAAGAAGGTCACTCTCTTAAAAATGTTGTTATATCTCTGTATCTTCTTTAGGTTCCCTTAATTGTTGAATGTCAGCTGCAGTGATGGAATACATGTTGTTCACACCTCCAATATTTGTGCTTACTACAGCATCTCCATCTAGATTCACTTGTGGGCCACTCCCAATAGGTTCAATTTCTTCTCTGAAAACACATACAGATGGCATTTAAGTTATAATGTTCTTAAGCAATGCTGCCAAATTGTAAACTGAATACATCAAAATTAGTTTTTGATTTATTTCTCAGTTAGCATACATACTAGGATTAGAGATAAAGCAAAGGTGGCCTTCTAAACATATTACTGTGTCATCTAATCAAAATATACTCAGTTTTCTATCTAACAAAGAATATGAAAACTGGAGTGCATTGAATTTGCCTTACTATATACTGCATGAGTGACTACAGACTGGATGACTGGGGTTCAATCCCCAAGGAAACAGAGGATTTTTCCTCTAGCCTCTGTATCCAGACTGGCTGTGGGGACCACCCAGCCTCCTGTCCAATGGATAACAGGGAAAGCCTGGGAGTAAAGCGCGGTCAGGGCCTAATGCTGACCACTCATCACTACTTAGTGCTGTAGTGCTGAGGTTAAGAATGAGAAGGAGCTTTACCTCCTCTCTCCACAAGTGCCCACATATGTGAAGTGAGGCGGTTTTACTTTTTTTGGCACCTGTGGGTTATCGGGACACATCGCTTTAAAAATAGGTTAGGTTAGGTTAGGTTATGTTAATGTGTGTGGATAAATGACATATACTTGAAAGTTATTATATTTTATTTCAATAAATGACAACTAACCTAACATAACCTAATCTAACCTAACCTAACCTAACCTATTTTTAAAGCGATGTGTCCCATAACCCACAAGTATCCTTTTTTATATACTACATCACATGAGTTTATTACTAAACTGATGATAAAGATAAAAGCAAAATAGCACTCACTTTGTTACTCGATAACCACGCTCATCAGCTTTGTAGTGGACTGTACGCTTGTAGAATCCATCACTATATGAATAGAGACCAGATAACTCGAGTCCATTACGCTTTTCTTGACGGATTTGAGTGTTGTCCATGATGTTATCATTTATTGCAGAATCAAAGGAATATTTTGCATTCTTTGCCTGTTTCTGAAACAGTTCTTCCTCTGGACTCAAAGTAGTTTCATCTGCTCTCTGTTCATTCTGCACATTTTCCTTCTGAGGCCCTTGCTGCTGTTGTGACTGAGATGCTTTAATTTCATTAACTCTTTCCTGTTGAGAATGCTGAATATGAGAGGAAGTTGTCTTTCTAAGACTTTTCCCCTGAGGAAGTTCCTCATTCTGAGGGGAGAACTGTTGACTTTGGAATGTTTGTAAGGAACTAGATTGAGATCTTGTAGTTCCTTCAGTCAACTTTTGTTGATGTGGTGGTGCAGTTTGCTGCTGAATATGGCCATTGAGTGCAGTGTTCTGAAACTGGTGTGCCTGCTGTACAGTCTGCTGCACTGAGGTTGATTTAATCTGGACAGTTCCTGGGTTTGTTGTTTGAATGGTTTGTTGATGTGCAGAAGAGAGAGGCTGCCGTTGTGCCTGAACTGTAGGAATCTGAGTTTTCTGTATAGGGATCGGTATTTGCTGTTGAACAGGGAAGGAGGTTGAAGGTTGGAAACCTTGATGAGATACTGGGAAAGAAGTTTGGAAAGTTTGTTGCGTGTGTCTTGATGGCTGGAACATCTGTGTCTGAGGTGATACTTGCTGAAAGCTTTGGGTTTGATGCACACTATGTGGTCCTGCAGTACTTTGATGGCTAGCGGTAGAAGGAACTGGGACGTTCACAATGTTTCTTGGAGTAGTAAGAGAGATTGTTCCTTCATGTGTCTTTGATTGCATTGACTGCTGGAACCTTTCTTGAACAACTACATTATTCTGTCTGCTATGTTGAAATGTTTGAGTAGAGCTAACTGGTGTCGTATCTTGGTTTTGTTCTATGCGCACAGTGAGAAACCGGAAGTGTTTCTGATTTTCACCTGTTCTGGTATCTTGGGAGGAAGTAACTTGCTGTTTGGCCAATGAGTGGATTGGAGAAGAGTTGAACTGCTGGGCCCATGCTTCAGAAGCAAAAATCAGTGCAACAAACTGCAACAAGGTTAAGAGACGAGGTATGTGGGTATATATCACAGATATAAATTTGTTCTTAACTTAAGACCCACATGAGTATCATTACAGACGTAGATGTAAGTTACAAGTAGTTAAGCATAAAGTGATGAAGGCAAATATTTAAACATAAGAGAGATGAACTATGTGGTGAATGGAAGAAATTACATTACTGTTTCATCTTCTACAGTTTTATGGCAATTAAATCAGAAAGTGCAAACATACATAACACGATTACCAGAGTACGACTACCAGACTACATGGTGGCACATCCCAGAAGACAGTCATATTCATGCTCAGCCATAGAGAACCCGAAATCTCGCCAAGATACATTAATTCGATAAATAAATGTTGTGTTTTTAAAAATTCATTACTAATGCTCAGAACTGTTAGCGTCGTATCATGTACATGTCAAAATATATTCGAAAAAATTTAAAGAATTTTTTTTAGCGTTCAGACTTTCCCAAGTCTTTAAGTTCTTCTGAAGAATGGGAGCACAGAATAAAAAGCCCAAACGAATTCCTGTGCCATTTTAAAACAAAACTTCAGTGAATCTATGAGAAAATTATAGAGCCTGTTAACTTCTTCTGTATAATTAGACAAACAAAATCAATCGCCAACTGAGTTGACAGTGAATTCGTCGGCGAGTAGCGAGTTAAGTCGTCTGATGTAATTGACACCTAAGACACTTACATGAATAACGAGACACTTTTTTTCCATCTCGTCAGCGTCAGATCACAAACACTACTATATGCCCTTCTTTTCACCCTCAAGCTTAAATACCACTTTCACCCTTGAGTTCTTCTCCTGGTGAAACCGACGCACAACTGGTGTGTGCACCAGTTTCGACGGTATGGCCTCTGTCAGCTGCAGGTCACAGAAAAAGTACAAACTCAATCAGAAGCACATTCCTAGAGGTTTAATTATTTTATACACTATACAAATTACACTTCCAAACATTAAATTTAAAGAAACACGTGGATCGCAACATGAGCGTGTTCCACGTTCTAGTATAGGTCGGTCGTATTTAACAACTAGCAGTCGTGCTTCGAGCTCGGGAGGCTACGTTTTCATTGTCGGGTAATTTGTCTTTGTGGTAAAACTTTCCGAAAACAAGGCACTGCAGAGTCGTGATGTTACACTTATGAATTACCCATTGCTTAAATACAATTTATCAAATTATTAATTTTATATTTAATGAATTCTATTTCTTTTCAAATTCTCTTAAATTGAGATTGTTGAGAGATTTGATGTTGTTGCCTTTATGAATTGCAAAGGTTTGGAAACCAGCTTCTTCTGAAATTCGAGACCTGTAATTGCCACATTACACAGTATTGTATGTAGGGTATTTATACAGTAAAACAAACCGTTCATAACAAGCTGACGGGAGGGTAGTTGTTGTCACTTTCGTGTTATTTTCCATAGTTAAACTATGTTACTTTCTCTTTCCGTCAATAGCGTCTTAGTTTAAAATAGATGTATAACTGACATTTCAAACAGTTAAACCTATGTCAGTGCTTTCAAACCTACAATGGGAGAGCTATTTTATTGAGCTCTTGATTGTGAATAATATTATGTCTATAATACGGGTGGTTGATTTCATGTATGCATTTGGAACCTATTATTAATTAGATTAATAAATGACATCATATAATAAAGCTACTGCTGCTATTATTAACGCATTTACAATTATTTATCCGATACTTAAAGCGTTAGCTACATACGACTCTATTTCCATTTCAGCATGATGTTCGCAATTCCTTTGTAAACACCGCACCCAAACAGCCTTTTTACCTTATTCAGAAATGAACATGTTTAGAATTTAATCAGAAGTAGACTGTTCCTTTGGTGACCTTCTGTAGCATTTTATTAATGTAATGTGATACTGAGCATGAATACGCATTCAGCCAGATGTCGTCTATTCTCCGTGAGTGTCAAAAGCGTCTTTCGTGCTATAAGCAGATCACCATAAAATACAACAGGGCTACGTAGGATTATTGATATTCTTCATATCCGTTTTATAGACTATTCATTATAATACTGGGTTAGTATGCTGTCTCCCAAATCAATGGAAGATATTCAAAAAAGTGGGTAGACTGCTGAGAAATGCATACGAAACCTGAAAGAGACTACTTGGGAAATTTAGGCGTAAATGGAAAAACAATATTAAAACGAATAATAAAGGAACACGTTATAAAGATGTGGTCTGGATTCGTCTTGCAGATCGGTAAAGGGATCTTGTCAACACAAGTTACAGAAACTTCGAAGCTTGCCTTTATTTCTTGTCAATCCGCTCGTGTGCCGCTTGGCTTCTCAGACTAATTAGTGTTTGCTGTTGGAAAGTTATTCTGATTATGCAACCCCTCCGTCAAAAGTGGCGTGTCATCAGTCAGACCGGGGACAAGCGGGCAGGGAGCAACACAGGAACCGAAGTCTGCATTTGCTTTACATTTGTATTAAACATGCGACGGTAAAGTTAGTATTTATTAATGCTATATTTGCATGATAACAGTTGTGCACAGTTTCATAATGATATATTAAATATCTGCAGTTGTTTCAACACAGACATCCTTGTTTCTTGTCTTTTCTATTTTTCGTTAATGGAAATACCAGCCCACAAGGAGTAAATCTGTTTCAGGAACAAGTATGTTGGAAATTTAGTTTATTTCTTAGAATTCGTTCCAGGAGTTAGCGTACTTTTGTAGTCAATAATTATAACTTACAACCAAGACATAACAAAGGGAAATGAGTCACATTATTTCATACAATGCACGCTGAAGCAGGAATAATATTCATTGCTGTTATTAAGAGCTTCTGGTAATAGGGCGCTGAAACTGTTTTTTAACCGAAGAGAGGGAAAATAAAAGAGGAAGGTCGAGCAAACTGCATAATGAGTAGCTCCATAATTTGCATTGAGGTGATAAACGCAAGGAGGACATGTAGCATGACTGGAAAAGATAAATGCATAGGCCTACACAATTTTAACATGGAAATCTGAAGGGAAGAGACCACGTGGGTTAACTACGGATACATGGCAGAATAATATTAAAATATATTTTAAAATAAATACTGTGTCATGATATGGAATAGACTGAGGGACTTTCTTATCTGGTTGATTTACTATCAGCTTCTGAAAAAGAGCTCCTTTCATGGAGTTATAGTAGATTATTGTTGCATTAATGTCATCCGAGGTCAATTCTAGGCAATAATGTCCGAATACCATTGTTACATGTTGCATAGTGTGATAAAAAGACAATGTTACTAAACAATATGTTCCATGACCTCACCTTCCACTGTTATGCAATAATGTCTCGACGCTATTAGCAAAAAGTTGCCTCGGATTCTAAATTTGAAAAGAGCAGTTTCAGGCACTACTCTGTGCTAGATAAAAAGTGCGTCATATGGAATCAACGTTCGTCTGCTGCAGGAACGTCAGTGTATTGTAGTTGTTCTCTGAGCCGTCCACATTATCCCGAACCTCGGCGGCGGTTCACTCTCGGTCCAGGCAAAGGCTGAATATTATCCCTGCGAAAAAGAAGAAATCGTAACAATTCCTCCACTACTGTGGTGTTAGGTTTCCGAAAAAACCATTGTCGTTGGCTAGACCACGGCCTTGTAGGAAACAACGTGTACGGCGAACCTTGGTCTTTACTGAACCCAAGAAATACGTCATGACAGTGACGTAAAAGAAGCACTGAAATTTGTTTCAAGTGTGTTACAGACATAACGTAAATAAAGCTGTTCCGCTACACGCCAGCGAAACGCTTGAGGGAAGAGAACAGATCCTCCTCGTTCTTGACCTCGACACGAAATGGAGTTCAGTGATCAGCGTCACGCCCTGACCGCGCTTTACCCTCTGGGAAAGGATCATCCTGGTACTCACTGTATAGGAGGCTGGGTGGACGCAGATGCTAAAAGAAAAATCTTCTGCTCCTACCGGGGTTCGAATCCCAGGCGTCCAGCCAGTAGTCAAACACTATACTGATTGAGCTACCCCAGATTACGCATTACCGCCCCACCTGCAGAAAATGCGGATCTGCTGGTGCCAAAACACAGTTTATTTCGCCAGTACACAAATTTAAACCACGAATACGTAAAGCCAAATAACATACTGGGGAAAAATTATTTTAAACAACGAAAATCGGCGGTTAGGATAACGAATGTTAACCAGGGATTACTGTATTTCAGTTATTCCCAACCAGTGATACTTATTTATCACCATCAACCTTATCAAGGACTAGCGCAAGAGGACATCAGAAGACAGTACCAACGGAGTAGGTCACACCCTACCCCTATCAATATCAGTTCTGGGTTTACATTTATGATGCTAAGATTTCAATTCTTACGTCTACCTAATGATTCTGTAGCCATTTTCGTCGGCCTCGTAGATGACCTGTCTTTTGAGGAAGCCGTCACTGTAGGAGAAGGAGCCTCGTACTTTGAGGCCGTCTCGTACCTCATCACGGTGCTGCGTCAAGCCGTTGACCTGATCCTCCACGTCCGAGGAAAAGTAATAGCGGGCGTTTCTAGCAGCCAGGCGTTGCTTGTCTCGGACACTGGGCTCCTCGGCTCCCAGAGGAGACTGGAACATTGCCAGGACGACCACGGCTGTCGGCACCAGCTAGAACAGCCTCTTCGTGGCTAACAAGCCTCATCCTCTACACATGTACTGAAGTTGATAATTAACTCCATTGAATATGGTCGTTCTTGAGAAGCTAATCGTTCATTTGGTCAAGAAATTCCCCGCCTTGTATGGAGCTTGCAGGTTCCTATCTTGAGCCAGATTAATCCAACTCCCCCCACCAATCTTTACATCTAGTATTCTCTCATTTATTCCTAGATCTTCCAAGTGGTCTCTTTCCTTCATATTACGCGATCAACATTTTCTGTACTCGGTAAAAGTTTTATATTTCTAATATAACATATTGACTTATTAACCTGGCGTATGTGTATCATAGGTTTGGTCAGGATTGAGGCTATTAACGTGTCGAAAATTTATATTTGTTTTTCCTCGGCCCCTATAAGCTAATTTGGGAAATTTGTAGAGATTGTCCACTTGTTACTCCACTTCATATTTCAGGTTATCAAAGAAACGCACACATAAGAAGTTAAGAAGCACATACACAATGCTAATATATGAAAATATTTGTGTGTCCGCACCTCATCTAAAGTTTATCTTGAAGGTAACACAAATAAACACTGACTGACGTGTCAAAACTATCAGAATGACTAGAAGTCAATGACTTTACCTTAAAACCACATTTCTTGCTTAATAGTCATGTTATGAAGGGATATGAGGAAAGCAAAGGCAAAGTTCTACCCACTGTCGATCTCTCCACTGTTAAAGTGATTAACGTCTTGCTCTAGCAACTTTATTGTCTTAAACGGTTCCTGTTAAGTACCGGCATCATCCAGGTAAGTCAGTCACTTCATTCTGTTTGGTTAAGGTTTATCTTTGTAAATATTTGTCTCAATAACGAACTATTTTGTGTTATTTCTCAAACAATACAAGATGAAACAACATTATCCGTGAGTTCTATCTGTCGAAGAAAGCCAAACGATGTCAGAAACCCTGACACATTAATAAAAACAAACAGAGAATTTATGTGTGACAGTGACACGAACGGCAGCAAAACTTGTGCTTTCACTTACCAGTCTAAGCAGCGGCATGATTGCAAAGATACTAAAATCTAGCCTTCCACTGCTTGCCATTTATATGAATCTAAAGGTGTTGATATATGCTGAAGAACAGGATTCACACAAGACATCCGAGTACCAAGGCTAAAAACAAAATTTGAACAAAACAGCGTGCGTATATATAAAGGGAAGTACTGATGCCATCTTTAATTCGTGGTAATGGAAGTCGTGTCTTCTTGAACAAGACAAGTGGGTCTTGACCTCAGGATTTCAGTCAATAAGAATAGTCTGTGATGGTGACAAATAGAGTTATTTTTTTGTCTTCCTTTGGAGACAATTCAGACATATTCAATTACAATAAAGGCACTAAGACATCAAGTATGTTCATGACGGCATGGCATGGGCTATTTCGTCAACACACACGACAGCGGACAAAGTGGCGACAGCCCTGAAGATGGAGACATTGTTTCTCGGAAATGCTGGCATCTACCTACGAGTCTACACGGCGCCCAAACCCCAAAGAATAACAACAGATCGAGATTTATTTGTGTTGGGGGGCGACCTACATCTTCCCGTTTACTCCTGACTCCTCCTACAATGCGTTAACTGAAAAAGTTGAACTCATCTGTCACCAGCGCCTGGCTATTAGGTAAGTTGATTTTATTCTTTCTACTGAGCGATAATTGACTCGTATTGGAAAAGCCTTGTAGCGTCTGGCGGTGAGTCATGCAGCTCCAGCCAGAAGTCGCGAAGTGACAAATGCTTTAAACTTTATCAGTGAATGCACTGTATGATTTCTCATTACAATCACAAACACATAAACGCATTTTTTGTGAAATGACTGGTAATCTAGTAGATCTTCAGCATTTAATGATACTGCACGATGATGGGTGTTATACTGACTATGTATGACAACTTTGTAAAGAAATGAAAGTCCGCAGAAAAACGCGTTCTAGTCACGCACCTCCGTTTATAT